AGTTTTGCTAATACTTTAAATTAAAATGTGAATTTTAAATTTATATATAAACTGGGATATAGTATGTCTATTGTTTTTAATATGTGTGATAGTTATTAAGTATTTAAATTAATCATCACTATATAAAAGGTAATGAAAGATTTCTTAGTATACAAAGTTAATATGTAGAATTTTCTTTATACAGAAGGAGTATACATGAGTTATCTGTCTGTGGTCTTTTCTTTTCAATTTTTTTTTGAAATTCTAATAAATTATTTTTTGCTAAATTATTTATCTTTCATGTCATACATCTAATTGTAGGATATCGCATGATAATGATTTTCGATCTTTGGCGGTGATTGATGCTATATAGTTGTAGTTTGGGGAATTGTAAAAATGATCTTTGTATAACAGATTAATAAAGCGAATAGCTCCCTATTGAATGCAGAATATTAGCATCATATTCAGATTCATAAAGGATGCTGTATTCTTCTTCCTCAAACAATAGTATTTCCGCAGCCCTAACAGTTGGAAACGTCGGTGATTGGAAAGGTCAAATTATGAGCAGGACTTCTTGGCCAAGTTTTGAAGTTTTAGAATGTGCTCTATAAAAACACATGACCTACGTTTTAAACAGTATTCATTATTAATATGCTGTAAAATAATAAACTTATGACATGTAACTTGAAAAGTTATGTACATCTATCATCCTAAAGTTTTTTTTTCCCTTCAATAGGAGATGAGTGGAATTTCAGAAGCGGAGAAAGTTGAAGAAAATTTGAACATTTAACGTCTTAAACAATTGCTAGACAGGTAATTGTACTGTCTATCTTCATTGCAATGATAGTAGTTAGTTATCATGTTAAGAACACCGTAAAAGCAAAAAATAGGACCCAATGCAAGCCATTTAAAAGTCCATCAAATCATTTTTTTTTCAAAAAAAAGATGAAATTGAGAATCTAGGTGAATATGGGCTATTAGAGTAATTAACCAATCAGTTGAGTATGAAAATGGCATGTCCTGCCATGTCAAAGAAATTTACCCCGCCTTACCTTGACCCCGTTAACTGCTAGCCCTTTTGAAGATTTACCCCCAAAAAATTTTGTGTTTGGATTGCATTTTTCATGGATGTTTTGATGAAAAATTACTGTAGCGATTTGATGTATGTGACGTAAAAAGGTGATAGGGAAATGTGTTCACGGAAAACAAGGCCATTTGTCCAAAAAAGGAGAAAGCGCTCTACCTTCTCAACGGATAATATGTCTTCTATTTGCTATGAATCAGTAATCAGCCAACTTTCATTCATTGCTCCATTAGTGCTTTAGAAATGATAATAATACAAACAGAAACAGACTTCCATAGGTTGCATCCAAATGTAGAATTCAGCTATACACCTAAATAATGTAAGAAACAACTTGGGAAGTTGCTAAATTGTAGTTGGCTCGAAAAAACATGCATACACTTTGCAGAACCAATTTTAACACATATAAAAATATGTGAAAAGAGGAAGAGAATAAATACTCAGTAATTTATTAATCCAGAACTCAATGATAACAATATTAAGTTGTAGTCTTTAGCTTACGATAACTCTCAAATCTCAAGTATGAAACTTTCTCTCAAATCTATTTTTCAATACTCAATTCAACTCTCCAAATATCAACTCTTCTATGACTCGACTTGACTCTTCAAAATTTAACCCAGCGCTATAACTAGCGTTTATAGACTAATAGTTTCTTAATTATGTACAAATCCAAACTAACTAATGAATCAAGAAATAAGTCGGATTTTAATATATTCATATCGTTTGATAATAAAAAATTGAGCATCAGAATTAATTAAATGGCACTGAATTTCCTAGACAAAATTTGCTCCCAAAATTAAGTGATAAACTATTCACTTATCATGAATGTGATATGCACTCAAATGTATTAGATTTAATACTTAATAATTTAATAACTTAATGGATTTAGATTTCAAATTTCAAATTTCAGTTTTATCAAATGCACCCTGAGACTCGAACAAGGAAACCAACGACACATAGGAAACTGACTATTCAATTAGATTCGGACTCAAACTAATACTAATCACCGACTAAGCCTTTAAAAAGGAAACTAACTAATAACTAGTACTAGTTTTCAAACAACTCTGGAATTTAAAGGAAACTAGAACAATTAGGAAATAAAGAAGCTTAGTTTAACTTCTATCATAAAATGACATGGGATTTCTTTTGGAATGGTGCTTAAACTTTTGAGTTTTAAATCCAAAGGCTCCTAAATGTACATCTTTTGTTGTGTTTGGATGCCAATTCGCATACTCCATCCGTAATCCATTTTTTAGCTACTGGCCAAAATTCTATCACTAATTAGTTCTTCACTTGATTCAAATAAAAAGGACGAAGGAGGACAAATCAAAAAATAACCCGTAGCCAAAGAACCAAATTCCCTTCTAGTAACCATGATCTTTAACGACTGACAAACACTGAAAAATAATTTTCATCACTTCTAATTACCTCATCCAAAGATAATTGAAATTCATTAGAGTAAAAGCCTGAAGAAATACGAATTCATAATCGTTAAGTAGTTCTCCAATCCTATATGAAAAGTACCAAATTTAATTTCTATATATAAGCATCACACCGAATTCACTTCCAGGACACAATTAAAAGTTGACAGAACCAAACCTCCAATTTCTTTTGAAATATGGTGATTGTTCTCTTTGTTTGTACGATATTGCTTCATTTTTTATATTCTTCACACTCATCAGATTTCCCACCAGCTACTTTACACTCTTTTCTATTTACAGTGACAACGTATGAGCTTGCCATTAAATCAGTTCATTAAGACCAATTCAATTGACAGAACAAGTGTAAAAATTCCAAGTGTAATTTCAAGAAATAATACGCAACCTATTGGCCTTCTTCAGTTCTTTTCAGAGGTTATATGACTAAAGATATAATCCTGCTTGGTCTGGGGAAAGAAGTCATTTACATTGGAAGATTTGCCATTTTTGTTTTTTCAAAAGAACAAGTACACATCATGCGAAGGAGATAAATTTTCTGGGTAAAACTTTTAGTGTTTTAAGCATTACTAAAAGAGAAATCCATGCTATACTTTGCACGTTTTTTTTCTTCAATCTTATGATCCATTGATCCTAGTAATGGCCAGTTTTTTTTTTTTTGGGGTAACTAGCTATGGCATGCTCATCTGAGTGTGTTCGAATAGTAAATTATTTGAGATGCTTTTATGAAAAAAATACTGTAGCACTTTTTTGATGTGATGTATATGAGGTAAAAAAATAATTGAAAAATGTATTGATGATGTAAACAATTCAAATCGTGTAAATAAGGTGAAAATAATGTGTAATCTTCGAGGTTGTATTTTTAGTGATACAGGTAATGTATGTATGGTTGTATACTCACAGACAACCTACATTTGTTCCGGCAAATTGCAATTGAAAATTACAGCCACACATGCTTGTAGTTTGTATCGACCGTACGGTAGAGGACCCAATTTATGGTACGGGTCTTTTTTTTTTTTTTTGAAATCGATAAATAACCCACACACACCCACCTAATTTAAACAAACGCAGGAGTTAATTAAAGACCGGCCCTAAAGCAATCTAAGGGGGACCCACAAAGAACCAATTTGCGGTATGGGTCAAGCGAGCACATTTTCAATGAAACGATTTTATGTTGGACTCTTAACTCTTGAATAGGCCAAATTTTATGAAATTTAGATGCGATAATTTTAGAAAGCTCAGGGAGGTTTTCATTCCATATTTTTAAAATTGCACAACCTCCCTTACAATTAATTATCTTATAATATTTAAAATATTACAAAGAACAAACTTTAATATTATAAACATTCTTCTCAACATATTAAGGTTAGTAGCTGAGATTATTATTAAAATTAACTCTTTGTAATATTTTAGTTACAGATTTTTTTGATTATTTGTTATTGATTATGTTTGATAATGAATTTGTAACTGAAAAGATCAATTTTGATCTTACATTAAGTGAAATATATAGAATGATATACTATTTCTCATGTCATATGTGATTTAATCTTTGATGATAAACACTAAATTCTAGTGTTTTCTTTAATGTTTAGGCTGGTATTAGATTAATTAAACAATTTAGTAGATGAGAGGCAATAGTGGAATCATTATTTTCTCTCTTCTAATATCATTTTTTAATTATTGGTTGAACCAAAATATTAGAAGATAATAAATCTCAAGAGAAGTTAGTGCAATTTTTAAAACTTAGAGGGAGATCAGTAAAATAGTCACAAACCTCAAGAGAGATTTTTGAAATTATTCCCACTAAAAATGGCTAATTTCTCAGAATATACACCCAAAAAAAAAAGTTCGTCAAATATATGTTTGACAAACGTATTGTACAAAACTATACCTGCCGTGCCCAGTCAGCATGGCAAGAATTATTTTTTTTTAATCGCTGAGGCTACCATGCTGACTATGCACGGGAACCTTCTACCAAATTTTTTTTTTAAAAATGTAGCAAACTAACTAACCATCCAAGTGCCTCGATACAATGTCATGGTTTCATTCTAAGTTATTTTGCTATTGTTTTTGTACTTATCCTCTAGTTTGACCGAATCATGTCCATCTATGGAAGTCAAGGGTAGGAATATTTCAAACCAAATTGATGTTGCTGATGGAGCCATGAAAGCAACAATTATCAAGTCCGCCAATTTTTCTTAGTCAAGTTTTGGATAAATATTCTGAATAATATGTTATGTCAAAGTAAAATCTTTCTACACAAAAACGCCATTATGTGGTAACTTTAACTTCCAATAAATGATTAACTAAAACATATTCATGTCAAATTTCGGACAAAGATGTAGAATATTTTATTTTGAAGATGAAAAGCTCCAGATTGATATTATGACTTTGGTTGACTTTGTCATAGTTTTTTTTCTTTTTCGAAACGATAGTACTCTTGCATTGATCAATAAAAATGTTTACACATCGAGCAAAGGCCCGAAAAGCTATACACAATGTGTTCAAGAACACGGAGGAACAAGGAATTCCTCATCCAACAAAATGCCATGGGCATAAGAACTAACACTATTACAATCTATGTTATCATCATCATTGTCTAAACAAAATGAGCACATTCGAAACAGTGATTTTAAGCTAAGGATATCCTCAATCAGTGTTGTCATTCTGCAGTCCGAAGCTTTACCAAGCTTGAGTAGCTTCAGCAGTCCTTTGTTACGAATTTGTACTGAGATGGTACTCCATTGTCTGTCCAAAGCTTTGCATAAAGTTAGCTTGATTGTTGTAGCCTCATCAATATTGTGGTCACCCAAGCTTCTGTCTTTTAAGGCCCATACTTCCTGTGCCTCATTTGGTACTCTGCGCACAGAAACTCCAATTCCCAGTACTGCATTTCTCTTAGAGGTTTTGATTGCCACTCTCAGATTTACCCCTTCGTGGCTTTCTGGTGCAACACTGTCCACTTCCACTGGTACCACTGTTTCTGTTGTGCTCTGAGGCTCCTTCTTCGAATCTAATTCCACAATCTCCAGCCATTCCATGTGTGCTTTTTGAATAACACTGCACGGATTATAGCCTGCCTGGTTCTCGAACTCCCTTTTGTTCCTGTCCTTCCAAATTTGCCAAAGTATATTAGCTGTGAGCCCCATATGGTTTCTTCCATCTTGTCTATTCTTCGCCTCTGTGATCCTACTCCACCATCTGTGGAAGTTTCCTATCTGATCATCAGCCCCCTCCCAAGTTATTGGAGCTATTTTCCAGATGGCTTTTGCTATGGGACATTGCAGAAAAGTATGTTCAATTGTTTCAGGTTCTTCTCCACAGCCTTTACAAACTGGATCACCTTCTCCAGTTCACTTGAAAATTGCCTCTCTGACTGGGAGAGCACCCCTGATACATTTCCATATGAACAATTTAATTTTGTGTTTGATATTAAGCCTCCATAATGCATTCCATATCTGTTTACTTTGGTTACTGCCTGCCTCCATGCTCGTACCAGCCTTTTTCTTAGAGTTGCTACTGCCTAAGCTCTCTTTCATAAACCTCTTATAGCCAGACCTCACCGTGTATTCTCCTCCTTCATTGTATCCCCAATAATGTGAGTCTTCTCTCCCCCCTAGCCTGACTGGGATACTAAGAATCATCATAGCATCCGACTTATTGAAAAGTCTGAAAACCAGGTTGGAGTTCCATCTTTTGTTAGTGATGAGCTGCTGAACTGTTTCAAACTTACAATTTTGTGGCTTAGTTGTTGATGGCTTGCCATTTGGGGCCTGTGGAATCCACTTATGTTCCCATATCTTTGTGCTAATCCCATTCCCTATTCTCCTCAGTACCCCTTCTTCCAACACATCTCTCACACTCATCAATCCCTTCCAGAACCACGAGGCAGTGCTTGGTACTTTACATGTGAAAATGGACTCCTTGCTGAAGTATTTGGCTTTCAAGACTCTACTCACAAGTAGATTTGGTTTGGTGATAAACCTCCAAATCTGCTTTCCAAGCAAAGCCTTGTTAAAAGCTTCCAGATCTTTGAAATTCAATCCTCCTTCCTTTCTCTCCTGAGCCATTTTCTTCCAAGAAATCCAATGCATTTTGTTTTTACCATTGGCTTCTCCCCACCAATAGTTTGCCATAGTTGAGCTGAGATCCTTACATAACTTCCTTGGCAATTTGAAGCAAGACATCGCGTAAATTGGCACAGCCATAGTAACAAGTTTGAGCATGACTTCCTTTCCTGCTTGGCTTAAGAATCTATTCTTCCAGCTCTCTAGACGCCTGTTCATATTTTCCTTAATATAGCCAAAGACTTGTTCTTTTGACCTTGATATGACCATTGGTAAACCAAGGTATCTCCCATGTTTCACTTCCTCCATACCACCAAGTTTACCACATACATCCTGTTTCTGCGTAATAGACACATTCTTACTGAAGATGACAGATGATTTCTCTAAGTTAATCAACTGACCAGAAGCTTGTTCATAAGCCTGTAAGATAGTCATAAGCTCCTCAGCTTGCTATTTATCCGCTCCACAGAAAATGAGTGAATCATCCGTAAAGAAAAGATGAGTGATGCTTGGGCCTCTCCTACTAATTTTCACTCCTTTTAGTCTCTTGTTTTCAGCAGCTCTTTGAAGTAAGTTAAAAAAGCCTTCAGAGCATATCAGAAACAAGTAAGGTGACAAAGGGTCACCTTGTCTTATCCCCCTGCTAGGTTTTACAAAACCTTTCACTTCCCCATTGCAGTTAAAGGAATACGATACAGTCTCCATACATCTTGCTATCTAGTGTATCCATTGTTCACAAAAACCCATCTTCCGCATCATTGCCTTCAGAAAGTGTCATTCCACTCTGTCGTAAGCTTTAGTCATGTCTTGCTTGATAGCCATATACCCTTCTTGCCCTTGCCTTTTGTTCTTGAAATAATGCATATATTCCTGAGCTAAAATCACATTATCCAGAATTTGTCTATCAGGAATGAACGCGGATTGATTTTTACTGATGCATTTGTGGAGGACTGGTTTGAGTCTGTTAGCAAGGATCTTTGAAATGGTCTTGTACAACACATTACACAGGCTGATTGGTCTGTAATTTTTCAGGCTCATTGGGTGCAGAATCTTGGGTATGAGTAAAATAAAGGTATGATTAATAGATTTCAACATGTAACCGGATATAAAGAAATCTTGAACTGCCTGAACTACAACCATTTTGATCATTGGCCAGAATTTTTGAAAAAACAAAGGGGTCATGCCATCTGCACCAGGTGCCTTATCCGGCTGCATAGAAAAAATGGCAGATCTAATTTCCTCTTCAAGAACTGGTCTAGTCAGATTGTTGTTCATCTCCTCCGTGATAGTTTGATTGATGCCAAGCAATACCTCTGAGTTATCTCTTTCACCATCACTAGAGAACAGATTGCTGTAAAATAAGGACATCTCACTTACCAGTTCATCATCATTTTTGGTCCAAGTTCCATCATCTCTTTGTACCTCTAAGATTTTATTCCTATTCCTCCTACCTCTCACATTAGCATGGAAGTAACCAGTATTTTTGTCTCCCTCTCTTAGCCAATTGATCCTAGCCTTTTGGCACCAAAAGGATTCTTCATCTCTATAAGCCTGCTTTAATAGTTCCTTTAGCTCTGATCTAATGACACTTTTGTTCTCCTCATTTGACCTCTCAAGAGCTTCCAAGTTGTTCTTCAGATCAGTAATCCTAGCTTTAGAGTTCGCTTGAAAGGAGTTTCTCCACTTTAAGATCTCTATTCTACAGTTTGTCACTTTCCTAGTGACTCTAAACATTTTAGTTCCCTGTTCAGCCTTATTCCACGCCCTCTCAACAATTTGCTGAATACCTTCCTTTTGAATCCATCTCTTGTCAAAATAGAACTTTTTTTTCTTTCTCAATCTTGCTGGCTCCGTATCCAACATGAGCAAGCTATTATCTGAAGCAAAAGAATCAATGTGTTTACAAGTAGCCCCTTCAAACTTGAGTCTCCAGTCACTACTACTTAGACATCTATCAAGACGTTGCCTAACCTCTCCTGTGTTATCCCAGTGATTGCTCCAAGTCCAGGGGTGGCCTTCAAATCCTAAGTAAATTAATCTGTTCCCAGCAATAAAATCCTTAAAGGCCATGAAACTCTTATTTTCTCTCAAATTCCCCCTCATTTCTCTTCATTAGAAACTATATCGTTAAAATCTCCTGCTATCACAAATTTCTCTCCCCACAGCTTACTTCTATCCTTTAGCACCTTCCATTGCTGTTTTCGAATTTGTGGATCACAACTAGCATACACACCTATGAACCACCACTCCTCCTTAGGATCTTTTCCACCTATGTTGGCTTCTATAGTAAAGGTTGTTTGAACTGTCCTCACTATTTTGACCCCCTCATTCCATAACAGGCACATACCACCTGATCTATGCATCGCTTCAATCACCATCATATTATCGAATCTTAGCCAATTTTTGACTTTAGACATGTATAACTCTCTATTCTTAGTCTCACTCAAGAAGATGATATCTGGAGAGAAGAGGTTGTTGACCTCCCTCAAATGGGGAATTGTCAAGGGGCTCCCCACTCCTTGACAATTCCACACCACAACCCTCATTTACCCGTGGGGGCCCCATTAGGGAAGGACCCCACCTCCACCTGATCAGCCTCTAGAACCACCAGCATCTCCAAGGACTTAGTTTTCTTCCAGTTCTGACCCTCACTTCCATCACACTCCATATCATCCTCTTGCACCATTGTTTTCCTTTTACTCCCACCAAGCTGATTACTTACCTTTCTATCCAGCTCTCTTAAAGGTCTCCTAGACTTCATAGGGGCATAAACCTTCCTATTTAACCTTTTAGATTGCTTCCTAAAAGCTTCCTGCACTTTCTCCTTGTTATAATTCCTATCCTGACTCCTTAATGAGTCCTCCTGTTCTCCCTTCATTACCCCAACATTGCCTACAACAGGAATTCCACTACTGCTATCCTCCTCCATCTCCGAAATGCCCTCAATCAGTGGATTCAAATCTGCATCAATTCCTATTGCTCCTACCTGTTCGATCTTATCCACCTCAGAGTGTGCCTGCGCTCCTACCAACCTATTAGGTTCACCTTTGAGTTCCTCCTGTTGAGTGGAAGCCAACTGCTCAACTACAGTTCTCTTCCCATTCAGGCCTTCAAAGAGAACCTGTCTTTCAGACAGCCCTCGCTCTAGATTCTTATTCAGTTCCAGCTAGTTTTTTTCCAGCAAGCTACTCGCCTGAGTTTTTTCAACTAACTCCCCATTTATGAACTTCCAATAATGTTTATCCTTTTCCATAACAGGACCAGCTTGCTTAGGCTGAGGGGATACCTTTCCTACTCCTGCTCGCAGCCAAGGACCAAATTGATTATCCATCTTCCCTCCAGAAGTATCTCCCTGCTTAGAACAGGTCCTTTCACTATGCCCAACGAATCCACAGTTATAACAAAAATCAGGGCAGCGTTCATATTTAAAGGCAACCTAAGTCATGTTCCCCTCAGTTTTTACTATGGTCCCTCGCAGAAGAGGTTTAGATAAGTCCACCAACACCAATAACTTTAGATGTCTTCCTTCCTTACCACCCATTTGGGGAATGACAATCTCCTTAACTTGCTTAAAAACTGCCCCTATTTTACGTCCAACCTCCTTCGAGAGCCAGTGCACAGGCAAATTCCACACCTGCACCTACATAGGAGTCACTTTAAACGCCTCCATATCTCCTTCAATACCTTCCTTCCACCTGTTCAGAACCAAAACTTGGTTATCTATGACCCAAGGCCCACCTTGCAAGATCCTATCCCTCTCCTCCCAGTTAGGTATGGTGAACTGGAACAGGTTCGGTCCCAATTCAACCACCCCCAGATTTTTGGGATACCCCCATGCTACAGTGGTAAATCCTTTAACCCCTGTAAAACTCACTATCTTCTCACCCATAACTCTCCCAATTAAGCTATCCTTACACTCATTTATACCACTTTCCAGGTCCCCTGTGACGTCCCGAAAAAAAATGAGTTTGAGAACCCGGAAAATTTTCTAATTTTCTAGGGTTTATTTTTTTAACGCCCACCTTTTATACATTTTCTTGATTAGAAAAATTCCCCAGATAAAGTTTATAAGCAAAAATAGTTTTAAAATGATTTTTCTAGCATTGGGTAGTTTTTGAAAAATTAAGGATATAGAAAGGACGTGGGACCCACTAGTGCGAAAAGTTCAGAAAATTCGGTCAATAAGATTAAGTTCCGGATACTGAGTGAAATTTATCGGGTGTTAAGAGATAAGAAGAGGAGGTGATTTGATTGATGTGAGAGAGACTTAAAGGATAGAAATGCATTTAAGAGAGTGACAAGTGTCACTATCTCTTTGGGTGGACACTATTCATCTTTTGACTTTTTTCCCCTTAAGTTAAATATCTCAAAAATTGACTAAAAATCACCATTTTGCACTCCATGTTGGCCGACTCTTGAGAGCTCAAGAAGGAAGAAAATTGCTTCAATTTCAAGCTTCCATTTAGCTCAATCTTCCAAACCAATTGCATTAACTAGTTTCTACTCCATAAAAGCCTTCCATTTGGTGCTTGTGAGTGTTTTGGTGAAGTTTTTTTGGAGAAGCTAAGGTGTTCTACAACTTCCTCTCTCTTGTTTACTTGGTAAGTAGTGATTGCCTATCCTCTTACATCTAATGATGTTTAATTGATGCCTAATGGTGGCTATAGTGTTGGAAATTGTGGTTTATTTCTTGGTTTGGAATGATTTGGTGAAGTTTTTATTTTTTTGAGGAATTTTCTGGTTTAATGTGATTATGATGTTGTGGTTGTTTATGATGGTTGGTAATAAGGGGTTATGACTCTAGTGGATGTATATGATAGGAAATTGCAATCAATTTTGAGTTTGGATTGAATTGTGAAAAGTTAGGGTTTCATAACCCCCTTTTCTGTCCGGTTTTGGATCATGTGGTTAGAGGCCGAATTGGCCTTTTCTTAAAACATGAAAGTTGTAGGGATTGATGTGTTTGAGATTCTTGTAAAATTTCAGGTCATTTGGAGTAGTGTAGAGTGAGATATGTTGTTTTTACTGTTGCTGTTCTGGGTGATCAGAATGTGCGAACTGCGATTGTAATCGTCTGTTTTGACTGGAATTTCTTTGGATTTGGATGTTGGTGTTTTCTGATGAAATGTAGCTTGATGTCTTAACTACCGTATTCCTTTGGAATCACTACATTTGGACCTGTATAGACTGAGTTGGACTGATTACAACCTAGTGTGATTTGTAAACCTGCAATTACGGTTCTGGTTTGGTATTCTGCATTTTTGACTTAGTTGTGCTGGGATTTGGACTGAGTGACCTTCTACATTGTTGTAGCCCTGGTTCTTAGCTTCGAAATGGTGGGTCTTACACCCTAATCCGATAATCGTAGTGCAAGTTGTGCCATTGCCGCAAAGTGACGTCCAAAACTGTTTTTCTGGTTTGAGCTAAACTTTCATTTCCGGACTTTTCCCTAGCTTGACTTGTCTTTGTACTTCTTGGAGCTTGCTGAATGGCTATTGGATGAACTTGTTGTTGTGTGTGTACCTTTGGGTTGGAATGAGGAAATAATGAAGCCGTGACGGCTGGAAAAGTAAGCAAATTTAGGGGAAGTGTTGTCCAAACTTTGAAGGGATTTGTTTGCATTGAGTTTGTGATCTAAGACTCGGATTTGAGCAAGGCAATAATATATGATGGATGGTTTCTGAGCCATGGAGGTGAGTGACCTCAAACTATTTCTAAAGTTATTTATGAATCGTTTCTTGTATTATTTACTTTTGAACTGTTTCCAAATTTACTTTTGAACCGCTTTCCCGCATTATTTACTTTTGAACTGTTTTCAAAGTTAATTTTGGAACTGTTTTCTTACATATCATGCGTGCTTGCATATCAGTGTCTTGTTATTATTGATTTTGCTTTCAATGATTGTTAAAACGAGTTTTCTAGGCGAGTGTGTACTTTATCGCACTCGACCTAAATAAATATGAAATTTTCAATGATTAATGATTAAATGCTACTTGCGCATGAATGTAAGCCTTTTGGGCTGAACTGGCCATTGCCCCTTGTTACCGGTCGTCTCGAGCCAGTGGCGGACTCGGTCGGGCGACTAGGAACTTGGGTGAACGTTTCGGTATACTCGAGTATTACCTTGTAGGTTGGTGGAGCCTGGCCAAAAGCCAGGGACGGGGTGAATGAATGCACGAATGAAACCAAAAATGCAATGAAATGACAGGAGAACGAATGTATCCTTTTCACGAATGTTACTATCGCTTTCCATTGTACATGTTTCTTGAATTATTGATACTCCATATTTAATGTTTTGTAAACGTTGAAATTGTTTCTGGACTTATCATTTGATTTGAATTGAACATCATTGAAATGAACTATGGTTAAATCGATTTGATTACTGATTTTACTGGTTACTCGCTGAGCTTCTAACTCACCCCAAAAATGTATTATTCCCCTCCACAGGGCTCAAGGCGAAGGAGTGGCTTGTAGTGTTTATTCATGGATTATCTCATGTGTGGCTTGAATTTGGATTTCCTTTTTGCGTAATGGTTCATATTGGGATTGTATTGAACGTTTAGAATTGATTGGTTGTGTAATAGTCTAGTTTTGGACTTCCTCCTGTATAATAGTTGGTATCAAGGATCAGAGTGGCGCAGTGGAAGCGTGGACGCTTCGCTTTTGATATGTAAAGTTTTGGGATATTTGATTTTTATTTGAGATTGTATCTTGTATTTAATTGAGGTTTGTAGTGAACGACTGAGTCCCGGCGAGAGCCGGGCAGGCGGCCCGCCGAACCCTCTGGTTCGCCTTAGGGGGAGGTGGGGTCGTGACATCCCCTAAATCTAACGTCGTTCCTGAGAGTTCATTACCAGCAAGTGAGAATTTCTGCATCATGTCACTCAAGTCTGACTCCATAGATACACCCAGAGGTATTACAGGTAGAATCAAGTGCAGGGGAGGAGTCAAAACACAGTTCCTTCACTAGAGAAAAACAGAACAAGGAAAAGATGGGAAAAGACCAGACTCTAGAGCTCAAGCAGCTCAGAATCTTGACTCATCTAAGATGATGACGCAAAGCAAGATCAGTGAGCACAAATCACAAACATCACCGCTACGCACAAAACAGAGCAGCGAAAAGGACAGGAATGCACAAAGATACAAATCACTGCGCACACTACCTCAAGTGGATCAAGCTCAGAATATATACATTATTTCAGTACCTGGAGCTATGGTTGCTGGAAGTAGGCTATTCTATCAAGTTCAGCATGACATGCAACTTCAACAATAATGACGCTTGAGCTTCTCTGGATCTCGTACTTCCTTAAGTTCAGCCCCCTCACTATTTTGTCAGTATTAACTTTACAAAAACACATGGTCCGCACCAGATCTTCATGCTTGTTGATGTTTGGAACATTGAGCTATTGATGATTGTTAGAGTTTTACCGGGAAATACTGATTTGGAAGTTTGAAATTTTTTAAAACCCACCAATGGGGGGAAAGTGCTCTCAAGGAGAGAGAAAGGCGTATGACTCTGTCATAGTTCATTGGTGTCAAATTCTAGACTGTCTGACGATCTCTATTCTACCAGTGTTTATTTGCTGCTAAATCTGAAGATGGCAAAGCTGGTGTACAGCCTTGTGTATTTGTTGAACTTCCCTTGAAAAATCCACTAGCAAAACACACCAAGGTTTAGTTTAGAAGAGACTGAGAAAGTCCAGGCATATGCAGTTGCAACCGTAGCTATTTTTTTTTTGACCGATTGCCTGCTACCATGCTGACTGTGCACCGTAACAAGCTGCATTTTTAAAAAAAAAATTTGGCCGCAGGCTATCGTGCACAGTCAGCACGATAGCCTGCAGCCATTAAAATAAACAAATTTCCTGCCGTGCTCAAGTATAATTTTGTATAATATTTTTTGTTTGACATACATTTGACGAACTAGTGTTTTTTTTTATATATTCTGAGTAATTAGCCCACTAAAAATAGTCAGTGTGCGTAACATTAGTGAAGATATTTGATTTCTGAAGTTACTTGTCCTTGTGTGTATCAATTGCTGCCCGTCAAATGGCTTCTGACTGTACCATCATTGAGGAGGGAAAGACTTCATTTCATGCTGACCATGAACATCATTGGCTGTAGAATTACCAATTCAATGAATCAAAGCAGGCCCACTTTGCAAGCCAAAATTCCTCCATTCATGCCTGGAAAGGCTTACTTCATTAGAAGATTCTGAAGAAAACCATATGCACATTCTGACATTCATGTAGGAAATGTCTTAATTAGCGTGTGAACAACGAAAATGCAGCTATGACTTTGAAGTTTTTCAAGGCACCAAAATCTACGTCTAAGTTTTGTTGTAAAATAGCCAGTTGAACTATTACATTCTTAGATTATGGTACTAATTTTCGCCACAAAAAAATAAATAAATAAATAAGCAATTGACAAAAAACCCAATTCTACCATAATTATGAGAAAACTCGCTACTTCATGACATATTCTGTTACTTTTCGCAATAAAACTTGCCTTTCATGCTAGACTTGATAAGTTTTACGGAGAAATAACTAAGTCCTTGGCTCAAACACTAATTCTTTAGTGCGAAAATGCCCAATTTTCTCATATATTACTAAATTCTAGCTCTGCGTGAAAACTATGCGCAGTCAAGTCTACGCCTATTTTCTTGGTCTCATTAATTTACAAAAATGATGCAACCAATTAATTGCAACTTCATTTTCTACCAATTCCCGAAAATAAACACAAACAACGAGAACATGTCAAGCCTACCCTGATTTTCTTGGCCTCATTAATTTACAAAATTGATGCAACCAATTGGTTACAACTTTCATTGTCTACCAATTCGCGAAAGCAAACACAAGCAACGACTTTATTTTTCTACCAATTCTCCGAATTAAACACAAACAACGAGAGTATGTCAGGTCTATCCTTATTTTCTTGGCCTCATTAATTTAAAAAAAATGATGCAACCAATTGGTCACAACTTTCATGTTCTACCAATCCCCGAAAGTAAACACAAACAACGGCTTTATTTGTCTACCAATTCTCGGAAGTAAACACAAACAATGAGAGTATGTCAAGCCTATCCTTATTTTCTTGGCCTCATTAATTTACAAAAATGATGCAACCAATTGGTCACAACTTTCATGTTCTACCAATCCCCGAAATTAAACACAAACAACGAGTGTATGTCAAGCTTACCCTTGTTTTCTTGGCCTCATTAATTTGCAAAAATGATGTGACCAATTGGTTACAACTTTTATTTTCTACCAATCCCCGAAAGTAAACACAAACAACAAAGGTATGTCAAGTCTACCCTTTTTTCTTGGCCTCATTAATTTACAAAAATGATGCAACCAATTGATTGCAACTTCATTTTCTACCAATTCCCGAAAATAAACACAAACAACGAGAGCATGTCAAGCCTACCCTGATTTTCCTGGCCTCATTAATTTACAAAAATGATGCAACCAATTGGTTACAACTTTCATTTTCTACCAATTCCCGAAAGTAAACACAAACAACGACTATTTTTCTACCAATTCTTGGAAGTAAACACAAACAACGAGAGGATGTCAAGTCAATTTACAAAAATGATGCAACCAATTGGTTACAACTTTCATTTTCTTTCAATTCCCGAAAGTAAACACAAACGACGACTATTTTTCTACTAATTCTCGAAAGTAAACACAAACAATGAGAGCATGTCAAGTCTATCCTTATTTTCTTGGCCTCATTAATTTACAAAAATGATGCAACCAAGTGGTCACAACTTTCATGTTCTACCAATCCCCGAAAGTAAACACAAACAACGAGTGTATGTCAAGCTGACCCTTGTTTTCTTGGCCTCATTAGTTTGCAAAAAAGATGTGACCAATGGGTTACAACTTTTATTTTCTACCAATCTCCGAAAGTAAACACAAACAACGAAAGTATGTCAAGTCTACTCTTATTTTCTTGGCCTCATTAATTTACAAAATGATGCAACCAATTGATTACGACTTTCATTTTCTACCAATTCCCGAAAGTAAATACAAATAACGAGCGTATGTGAGAGGACTATTTTCATTTTTTCCATTTAAATGTTCACTTTGAGCCATCTTTTTTTCGACCAACACTTTGAGCCATCTTGAATTCACACATTAACTTAGTAACCATGATCATTATAGTTCTAACCTCATTCATTTGCTTCCTGGGAAGTGCATCAGCTTCTGTTGAAGAAGCTGACACTCTTCTTAAATGGAAAGCAAGTTTTCAGAACCCGGATAATCCCCTGCTATCTTCATGGATTCTTCCGCCAAACGCTGCGAATTCTTCTCATTCTCGAAAAGAAATCGCCAGCCCCTGCGTTTGGTATGGTGTCTCTTGCATTCATGGAAGTGTCAACCGGTTGAACCTCACAAACTCGAGTATCAATGGTACTCTTTACAACTTTCCGTTTTCATCCCTCCCAAATCTTGAATATGTTGATCTGACCCTGAATGATCTTTCTGGGAGCATACCACCTCAGATAGGTAACCTCTCCAAGCTCTTGTATCTTGACTTGCAGCGCAATCTATTTTCAAATACTATCCCACGTGAAATTGGACGATTGAAAAATCTCCAAACCCTTCATTTAAATGACAACCAGTTAAATGGCTCAATTCCTGAGGAGATAGGGCAATTAAGGTCTCTAAGTGATCTGGCTTTGGCCACTAACGATCTTGATGGCCCTATTCCTGCTTCCTTGGGCAATTTGAAAAACTTGACTTACTTGTATTTCTATGACAATCTGCTTTCTGGCCCTATTCCTCCTGAATTAGGACATCTTTACAATCTTGTTGAGATTTACATGTACGGAAACCAGTTATCAGGTGCTATTCCACCCTCCTTTGGAAACTTGAACAAACTAGAGGTCTTGCATCTTTTCAGCAATAAACTCACTGGTCTCATTCCTCCTGAGATAGGGAATCTAACATCACTGCATAGTCTGAGTTTATTCAATAACAGTATAAGCGGCTCAATCCCACCATCAATAGGCAATCTAGCCAGTTTGACTCTCCTGCACCTATATGGCAATCAACTCTCTGGTTCAATTCCCAAGGAGTTGGGCAATCTGAAACTTCTCGAGGATCTAGAATTTGCCGATAATCTGCTAAGTGCTTCCGTTCCTGCTACACTAGGTAACTTGAGTAACTTGCAGTATTTGTATCTCCGCAGAAACCATCTTTCCGGTCCTATTCCCCAAGAGCTTGGAAACTTGACAAAGTTGGTTGCTATGATCATGTCTGAAAATCAATTCTCTGGTCACTTGCCCGATAAGCTATGCGAAAGTGGAGTGCTTCGAAACTTCACTGTAGATGACAACATGCTTACAGGTCCAATTCCTAGAGGCTTGAAGAACTGCACAAGTTTACTTAGAGCTGTCTTCAATGGGAACCAGCTCACTGGAAACCTCTCAAAGATGTTTGGGGTCTATCCACACTTGGACTTCATGGATCTTAGCAACAACAATTTCAATGGAGAACTCTCTGGTAATTGGGGTAGATGTCGAAACTTGCGTACTCTGAAGATTGCAGAAAACACCATCTCAGGTCGTATACCTCCCGAATTAGGAAATTTAGCTCAACTAGGTGTACTTAATCTTTCCTCCAACCACTTAACTGGGAAGATTCCAATGGAATTTGGGAAGCTAAGATCTATGCTAAATTTATTTTTGCAAGATAATCAACTATCAGGCAGCATACCTCAAGAAATGGGATCACTAACTCAACTACTCAGTCTAGACCTTTCTTCAAACTCATTGAATGGCTCAATACCAGAAACTCTAGTGAACTGCAAGCAATTGTTCTATTTGAACTTGAGCAGCAACCTTTTGAACCAAAATATACCTGCTCAATTAGGAAATTTAATTACACTTTCTTCCCTGGATCTTAGTCACAACTTTCTTGAAGGAGAGATACCATCTTTGTTTAGAAATCTGCAAAGTCTAGGACTGTTGGATCTCTCCCATAATAATCTCTCTGGTTTCATTCCACAGGATTTGGATGAACTGCCTGGTTCCACGCACATTGACATATCTTTCAATAATTTAGAGGGTCCTGTTCCGCCTGGCAGAGCATTTGCAAATTTCACGATAGAACAAGTACAGGGGAATAAAGGTTTGTGCGGAAATATTACAGGATTACAACCTTGTGAAAGTCCTCCTGTCGAAGGAAAGCATAATACGCACAAGGGTCAGAAACTTGTCCTCATAATTTTGCTCCCTCTTTTAGGATCACTTTTACTTCTCTGTGCGTTTGCTGGAGCCTTCCTTCTATGTTATAGAAGAAAGAGAACAGAGAGAGCTGAAGATACAGATGTGGATGAAGACGGCTTCTACTCCGTAGCCATTTTTGATGGCAGAGAGATGTTTAAGCAGATTTTAAAAGCGACAGAGGACTTCAATGCAATATTTTGTATTGAAGAGGGAGGTTACGGGAGTGTTTACAAGGCAAACCTTCCATCAGCCGATGTAGCAGCTGTAAAGAAACTTCATCAATCATCTGAGATGACAGATAGAAATGGTTTCTTGAATGAGATAAGGGCCTTGACGAATATCAGACATCGAAACATTGTAAAACTTTATGGTTTCTGCTCAGATTCCAAACACTCAATGCTGGTTTATGAATACCTCGAAAGAGGCAGCTTGGCAGACATTTTGAGCAAAGAAGAAGCAGCTAAGAAATTGGATTGGCAGAAAAGGGTGAACATCGTTAAGGGCGTAGCCTACGCTCTGTCTTATATGCATCATGATTGTTCACCACCAATAGTTCATCGAGACATATCGAGCAAGAATATTCTTCTTGATTCAGAAAGATGAGGCTCATGTTTCTGGTTTTGGCACTGCAAAGCTACTGAAGAAAGATTCATCCAATTGGAGCGCGCTAGCAGGCACATATGGATATATTGCACCAGGTAATTGACCATCTTTTCTCTTAATCCAGTAGCAGGTAACTTTAGAGCACAATCACAAGTTCTTACTCATGACATGATCTTTCCCTCGCAGAGTTTGCCTACACAATGGAAGTGACTGAAAAATGTGATGTGTACAGCTTTGGGATACTGGCCCTGGAAGTAATCAAAGGAGAGCATCCAGGTGACTACACATCCCCAGTTATGTGTGCTTCACCTGGAAACTTACAACTGGAAGACTTCTTAGACCAACGGCTTTCGCGTCCAACTAAAAAGGTTGAAGAGGTTCTGGAATCCATTATCAAACTTGCAAGGGGATGTGTGGCTGCTAATCCAAAATCCAGGCCAACAATGCACATTGTTTCTGAGTCGTTAGCAAGGGGTGCTCAATCTCTGCAACATCTTGGTGAGTAACAACTAAAAATAGGCATAAAAACCTTTTCTTGTCAGATTCTTTTCTTTCTATATGGCTTCTCATCAATTAACTGTCTCCTACTCTTTTCCTGTGTGTAGTGGAAAATAGTGCAGCCCGGATAGCAGATCTGACAAAGATTGTTGAAGAAGAATTAGAGGGACTAGAGCATTAAGCATAAATAACACTTGTAGCTTGAATGAGTATAAGATCTTCAGAACTTTACAATACATTACATATCCTCAGGATTTAGTTAGCACTTTGCAAAAAGAGGGCTCTTTTTCCGATCTTCAAAATTGTGGCTTTGGATCTATTGGGTACAAATAAATAATCACAAATTTCTTCACTTAATTGAGAATGTGTCGATATTGGACAGCAATCACATAGCAAATTGCGACCTGCCAATCAATAAATTGGCTTTGTCTGCATTTTTTTTTTATCGAAACGTTAGAATCATTTCATTCCAAGAGCTAAAAAACACAGTACGAGCAAAGGCTCGATATATCTGTACAAACAGTGCTCAATAGCACTGAGGAACAATCCATTCCTCATCCACAATAATGCCAAAGGCATGATGACTTAAACTTTTACTTCTTCCTATTCTTTCGTCCCTAACAGAGCTAAACAAGCACATGCGAAACATTCTCTGCATGTTAAGAATGTCCTCTATCAATGTAGCTAAACTGCTGTTGGAGGGGCTCCTATTGCTAATCTGTCTCATCAGTTCTTGGTTTTGAAAGTGGATCACAATCCTGCTCCATCTCTGCTCTAGAGCTTTACACAGAATCAGTTTTATAGCCACTGCATCATTAATGGTTCTGTCACCCAAACTTCTCTCCCTAAGTGCCCATTCTGCCAGTAGAGTGTTTGGATGCCTCCGCACTCTGACACCAATCCCCAAAGAGACCTTCCCGAACTGACTCTCTGCTGCCACCTCCATAACAATTGTTTCTGCTTCTTCTAGCCCCTGAATAGGTTCTTCATTGTTGGGAGTTGTTTCTCCTGTGCTTGGCCTAGTTATCCTACTTAAGCTTTCCTCCTGTTCCAACCACTCCTTATGAGCTTTACTTATAGTCCTCGCTGGTAAACAGCTGTCTTTGTTTTCAAACTCCTTCTTGTTCCTTTCTTTCCACACCTGCCATAAAAATGTTCGCTGTCAGTCCAATATGCTTCTTCCCTCTTGGCCTTCTCCTAGCTTCTGAAACTGTGATCCACCATCGTTTGAAACTCCCTTGCTGGTCCACCACACCATCCTACTTTATTGGAGCAGCCTTCCAGACCTCCTGTGTGTAAGGGCAGCTGAAGAATAAGTGTTCCACTGATTCCTGCTCTTCCCCACACATTCGACACACTGGATCTCCCAACCTTGTCTTCCTATAGATTTCAGCTCTCACTGGTAGTGCACCTGTTATGCATTTCCAAATGAAGATTTTGATCTTATGTTTGATGTTGAGCTTCCATAATGTTTTTCATATTTGTCTGGCTTGCTGACTTCCTTCTCTGATGCTTGAACCAGCGGCCTCTACTTGCTCCTTTTCAGCTTCACTTCTCTCTTTCATAAGGAATTGATAGCCTGAGCTGACCGTATAATTCCCCCTGCATTATGCTGCCAATAGTAACTGTCCTCTTTCCCAGTCAGACTTAAGGGGATGTTTAAGATCTTCTCAGCATCCTTATGATTGAAATACTTGAAGATGGTGTTTCTGTTCCATCTCTGTTGGTTGATTAGCTCATGCACCATCTTACAGTCAGAATTTAGAGGTCTTGGGGTAGTTGGCTTCCCAGAACTAGATCCAGGAATCCATCGATGATCCCAGATGCTTGTACTCCTCCCATTGCCAATCCTTCTAATCATCTCTTTGTCAATTAAGCATCTGGCTCCTAGTAATCCTTGCCAGAATCATGACGCATTCCTATGTGTTTTGCATGATAAAATGGAGTCTTTGGGGAAGTATCTAGCTTTCAGCACTTTGCTAACCAGGAGGTTCGGTTTAGTGATTATTCTCCAAATCTGTTTCCCAAGCAAGGCTTTATTATAAGCTTCAATGTCCTTGAATCCCAGGCCTCCTTCATTCCTCTTCATTGACATTTTCCTCCAGAAAACCCAATGCATTTTGTTCTTGCCATTTGTTTCTCCCCACCAGTAGTTGGCCATCATAGAGCTGATGTCTTTACACATCTTCCTAGGTAGTTTGAAATCGGACATAGCATAAGTAGGCATTGCCATTGACACTGCCTTGAGGAGCACTTCCTTACCTGCATTACTCAGAAACTTATTCCTCCAGTCCTGCAGCTTTCTTCTTATATTTTCCTTGATGAACCCAAATATCTGGTCCTTAGTCCTGGCAATCACCATAGGCAGCCCCAAATATTTGCCTTGTTTCATCTCAGCCATTCCTCCTAAGGAACTGCACACTTCTCTTCTGAGCTCCCTCGACACATTCTTGCTGAAAAAGATAGCTGATTTATCCAAGTTAATCAACTGTCCTGAAGCCTTTTCGTAGGTTCTAAGAATCTTCATGACTTCAGTGGCTTGCCTGTTGTTGGCTTTGCAAAAAATGAGTGAGTCGTCAGCAAAGAAAAGGTGTGTGATGAGAGGACCTTGCCTGCTGATCCTCAGACCATTTATGTCCTTCCTCTCCTCAGCTTTCTTCAAAAGGTTGGAGAATCCTTCTGAGCATATCAGGAATAAGTATGGAGACAGAGGATCTCCCTGCCTTATTCCCCTTTCTGGAGTAACAAAACCTTTAGATTCCCCATTGCAATTGAAGGAATAAGATACTGAACTCAAGCAGCTAGTAATCCAGTTGATCCATCTTGCACAAAAGCCCATCTTCTGCATCATAGCTTGCAAAAAATGCCACTCCACTCTATCGTATGCTTTGGCCATGTCAAGCTTGATTGCCATGAAACCTTCTTTCCCTTGCCTTTTATTTTTGAGGTAATGCATGTACTCATGTCCTAGGATTACATTATCTAAAATTTGTCTATCCGGGATAAAAGCTGATTGGGTGTTACTAATGCATTTTCCTAGAACCAGTTTCATTCTATTGGCCAAGATTTTGGAGATGGTTTTGTAAATCACATTACACAGACTGATGGGTCTGAAGTTTTTCAAACAAGTTGGGTGCAAAGTTTTAGGGATGAGGGAAATAACAGTGTGATTTTATAGATTTTAGCATGAAACCTGAGCTGAAAAAAGCTTGGATGGCTGGAATTAGATCCCCTTTGATAATGCTCCAGAACCTTTGAAAGAATAAGGGGGACATGCCATCCTGACCTGGAGCTTTATCAGACTGCATGGAAAAAATAGCTGACTGTATTTCTTCTTCCTCTACTGGTTTAGTCAAATTTGTATTCATTTCCTGAGTAATAGAATGGGGAATACCCTCAAGGATCTCTGACATATCATTCCTTCCTCCACTTGTGAACAATTCTCGAAAGAAACCAGAGATTTCTGATACTATTTCTTCTTCACTTTCAGCCCAAGAGCCATTCTCCCTCTGCAGTTTCCTGATTCTATTCTTAATCCTTCTCCCCTTCACAAAGGCATGGAAATACTTAGTGTTTTTATCTCCTTCCCTGAGCCAGTCAAGCCTTGCCTTTTGGCTCCAGAATTTCTCCTCTTCCTGATATGCTTCCTTAAGCTGGTTCTTTAGCTCAGTCATCATCTCCTTCTTACTAGCAGCCTCAGAGCTACTTACGGCCTCCAGTCTTTTCCTTACCTCCACAATTTTCCTTTTAGAGTTTGCTTGGAACGTGTTCCTCCATTTTAGTAACTCAATTCTACAGTTTCTGATCTTCCTTGTAATCTTAAACATACGTGAACCAGGTTCATCCTTCTGCCAAGCTTGCTCCACTACCTGTTGCACCCCTTCCTTATGCAACCATCTTTTATCAAAAAAGAACCTTTGTTTCCTTTTCCCCTTTTCTGGATCGGTATCTAAGCACAAAATGCTGTGATCAGAAGCATAAGTGTCCATATGCTGGCATTTAGCTTTATCAAAAGTTTGAACCCATTCATAACTGGCCAAGCATCTGTCTAATCTCTGCCTAATTTCTCCTTCATCCTCCCAATGGTTACTCCAAGTCCAAGAGTGTCCCTCAAAGCCTATATCTATCAAGTTACTCTGCTCTATAAAGGTCTTAAAATCCCTTAAGCTTCTCTCCTCTCTGATGATACCCCCCCCCATTTTTCTCCATTTGACACTATATCATTAAAATCACCTGCGATCATGTATCTATCTCCCCACAACCTGCTTCTATCTCTCAAAACTCTCCATTGTTCCTTCCTTATCTGACTATCACAACTCGCATAAACTCCTATAAACCACCAGTCACAATGCTTAACGTCATCCTCTAACCTGACTTCAATAGTGAAGGCTGTTAGATTAACTTCCAGAACTTGTGTTTCCTCCTTCCAAAAAATTGCCATTCCTCCTGCCTTGTGCATAGCTTCTACCACTGCACTGTTGTCAAAACGTAAACCTCTAGCAATCCTATCCAACACCTGTTTTCTATTTTTTGTCTCACTTAGGAAAATAAGGCTTGGAGAGAGGAGGTTATTCACCTCCCTCAGGTGGGGAACTGTCAAGGGGCTCCCCACTCCTTGACAATTCCACACCAAAGCTCTCATTTCTTTTGGGGGGCCCCATTAGGGAGAGACCCCATCTCCACCTCAGACAAACCTGTGTAGCCAAACAGTTCAAGAGACTTTGCTTTTTTACCTACTGGTTCATTCTGGTGCACGTCCTCCATTTCCTCATCAAAAACCAGCATCTTTCTTTTTCCACTGCCCACTGCGTTAGCTTCTTGACCATTTCTCTCTCTCAAAGGCCTCCTTGTCTTAACTGGAGATTTCAGCTTTTTATAAGACCTTTTAACTTTCTTTATCATGGCTCTTTGCCTCTTAACCTCACAAAGGCTCTCCTCCTGCATTGCTGCCTCAAAAATTGGTATCTCTTGTAGGCTGTTTTCCTGCTCCAGCCATTTTGCCCTATTATCTCTATCCTCTTCCATTTCCTCCACTTCAACTGGAGTCACTTTTTCCTCAGTTCTGACCTGAGTAATCAGAGAGAGGTCCTGCCTTTCCTTAGTCAAGGCCTATGAGTCATCACTAAGGTCCCTTTCCTTCGCACTACTTCCCACCTTATTTGGAGGGCTACTTCGAAGAATTTCCACCCTTTCCTCCTCCTGCTGTTTAACTACCTCTAGATTACTCCTTGTTCCTAGCCCTGAAGACCTCAACGTCTCCAGGAGTTTCTCTCCAGGCTGTATCCTGGTCCTTTCCCTCTCAACCATTTCACCATTCTGAAACTTCCAATACCTTTTATCCTTCACCAGATCCTCTCTCACTATCCTATCCTTTGTTGGACTTCTGTTACTTCCAGCTCTCAGCCAAGGCCCATATTGATGCTCCAGAAGGCTCCCTGATGAATTCCTTTGCTCTTTTCACGTACGTTCCCCATGCCCAACTATTCCACAGCTATAACAGAAATCCAGGCATCTTTCATATTTAAAGGCAACCCATTTGAGTGACTCTGCTACATTAACCAACGTTCCTCTGAGAAGGGGTTTAGACAAATCTACCAGGGCAAGAACTTTAAGATGTCTTCCCTCTTTTCCCCTTGCTTGAGGTACAATCACCTCTTTTACTTCTTTAAAAACTGCTCCAATCTTTCTCCCTACCTCCTTGGAGAGCCAATGCTTTGTCTGCATTGACAGTACAAATTTATGGCTGTTATGGTTATACACGGAATCCCAAGAGATTTAATCGCCATCCACATTAAAATTATAGTTGGTGAATGAAAATTTTACTGCAAAGAGTACGAGGAGGAGTGAAAAATGTCACTCTGCCGACAACACTGACTAGTTAATAGTACTTTTTAACTTCTTTTGTTTCTTTTTTTTTTTTTTTGGCAAGTATTAACAAAAGGAATAACCACTGGGCCAATGGCTCAGTGGCCACCAGAGAGGACTTAAGTCACTCCTTGGGCTGTTGGTGAGGGTTCAAACCTCACCAGCAGCGAAAAAAATCTAAGGGTTGTGCCATAGCACTCCTTTGGTCTAATTGGGTCTGTATACCCACTAGCCCCTATCACAGCCTCCTTAGGCTCCCCCTCCCCCTAGATTAGGATAGAATAGGTTATACAAATGTATCGTTGCTGACAAAAAAAAGTATTAACAAAAGGAATAGCAATCCAAAAGATAGGTGATGGAATTATTTCTTGATCACTACAAAACTATAGAAGGCAACTAATAATCGGTGAAGAAAATAGCAATCCAAGGAAAAATTTTAGTAACATTTTTTATGAACGCATTTTTATCTCACATATATCAAATCGTTACAGTATATTTTTTAACAAAAAAAAAATCCAAGAAATAACAATCTTAACCAGACCCAATAATCGGCGAAGAAAACATTTCTCATCTTGCACATAAAAGCAAAAACAAATGTTAAGTTTCTAAAATGAGAATAATCTCCAAAAGTTTTAGAACCCCCCCTTCTTGATTTCTCAAAATACTGATTATCATGTTATGGAAAGGAAAAAAAATGTAGAACTTGAACCACTCCCACTGTTTTTTCTTTTTTTTTTCTTTTTCAATGTTTCCATTATTTTTATAAGCTCTTTCCACTTTCCAACGAAACCGATTAAGATTCCATCCTGTTTACTTCCTCTCAAGTTTTAAATTTGCATCCACATCTTCTAGAATCAAATTAAGATCAATTAAAGAAGGGATAAGAAAGAAGCTGAAAAGATCAATAACCTAATAATTTGGTGGTTTGAATCTCATCACTGATTACCCGATAATTAAGGCCCTCAAATGGGCCATTACAACATAGAGAAGTAGGACAAGAGGACTGCATAAGTGGAAAGCAATCATGGCCCAAACGTGGCATTTGGTAAATGTGGGACCTAATTCTCGGAATATCCATACACGAATTCAAGATCCAATGTACTAGAATTTCTGTTCCACTTGTTGGATGACCACTCACTTGCCAGCTATCCCACATTTTCTGGTGAAATTTTTTTTTTTATCTCATTTCCAATACAATTTTTTATTATAATAATTAATGAATATATTAAGTAGTTGTGGTATTTTCCCTGAAATAAAGCAACAAATCTTCTCACACCATTTGCATTTATTATATTTCGTGTCAAATAGAGCCTTGCTAGTAGCATGGATTCTTGAAGACAATTAGACGTCGTTTTATTTATTCTACTACTACTTTTTTTTTTTTTTTGAAGAAGGCAAAGAATAAAAAGTTTGAAAGAAAAATATGCAATTTTCTTTTTCCTTTTTTAGAAATAAAATTGTAGCTAAAGTATTTTATATCTCCTAGCAATATTCCAAAGACTTATTATTGCTCTAATGACCTTGAAACCATAATTATTGAGCGGTATATAAAAGCAATTTGGATACTAATTCCCATTTTACTAATTGTATCCAAAAAAAATGAAAACTATAAGAATTTACCAACCTAACTATGACTTTGCAATATGAGCTTGTAATCATGTTAACAACCCTAGGAGTTTCTTCTTTGGCCTTTGGCTCAAAAACATATCATTCATCAATTTATTTATTTATTTATTGACGAAGTCAATTAAATTTTTCTGATAGAAATGGTCCACAATATGTTATCATTTTCGATTCACATTGAAAAATTCGTCTCTTGTATAAGGTTCTTTCTTACGAGTATCTATTGAATACTTTTTAATATATTTAAAATTCACTTAATTTATTATGTTTATATAAATATTAATGATTATTATCCTTCATTAAATTTATTTAATTTTATCTACCCTCTTTTGTATTTATTTGCTTTAATTGAAAATTGGTGTTTGAGGACAAAAAAGAAGTTTATCGAAGAGATTTGATGTGGACCCCATGCGCCTATAATTGATTGAAACACGTATTGCTATATGTGGCGAATGGAGAAAAAAAAATCAGAAAAAATAAAAAATTGAAACCTGCAATCTCCATCCATATCTTTTCTTTTTTCCTTTTTTTTTCCAACAAACCGGAACGGTCCATCCATATCTTTTCATTCGTCTTAAAATAGCACCTTTCTCTTCTCACACAAACACACACTCACACCGTCAACACTCCAATCTTCGCACTTCACATTCTCATCACAATACCAGCAATGTCTACTCTGATCGTGCCACCCCATGTCCCTTCTGTTGCTGAAGACTCTGAACAACTCCACAAAGCCTTTGAAGGTGCTAGACTTCTTTTTTTTTTCCTTTTTTTTTTTAAGATCATTGCGATTTTAATCATTACTTGAAGATCAAGATCAATGCTTTTCTGCGCTTCTGCTATGAGGTCTTTTTTGGGTTTTCTTGTTTAAGGACATTGTGCAGAGATTCAGTCTTTTGTTAGTTTTATATGTGACCATCTTGGATGGCCTGCAGAAATGTGTTTTGTTCTTTCAGTGTCTCGGTGATCAGCTGATCTGATCATTGTAATCTTTCATATACAGCGCGATTAGGTGTGATCTCGTTTATAGCGAAACGGTTTTCATGTTTTTTTCCCCTGATTCCTGAACCTTGTGATGCTGTATGATTGTCGACATTTTCTCGAGTACTTTACTTGCTGCCTCTGTTTCTTGATGAATATATACAGCTTCTACGGGTGAAATAGAATTCTAAGTCTTCTGATCCAACTCAAAATGAAGTACTTCAGGTATCATGTGAACTTATAGACGTTTAGGATGTGATCTACTTAAAAGTTTATCTTTCGCGCAGCTTTTGCTAAGCTTTTCTTGGACGTTGAGCTTGTTACAAGACATCATTGATCAATAAGATCTTGACAGTACTGCAGTGGATTCTGAACTATTTCTTAGCATGAGAGGACCTTGATCTGCTTCTTTCTTAGCTATTACGCTCCAGGTGTATTTTAATCAATGTAACACAAACAGGTCTCTGTAGATCACTTGATGGTTTGCTTAGGACGATCTTCTTCTTCTCTTGCTTCATTACGGGTTTGAATTGTTGTTTTTTGGTTTTTGGTCTGCTTGATTAAAGTGGCAACTTTTTTGCAGGATGGGGAACAAATGAACATTTGATTATATCAATTTTGGCTCATAGGAATGCCGGCCAGCGTAGGGCCATTCGACATGCTTATGCTGAGACTTATGGGAAAGATCTCCTCAAAGACCTAGACAAGGAGCTTTCCAGCGATTTTGAGGTTGATTTACATACTTTTGCTTTTTACTGGCATGTGGTTTCCACTAATTAATGACAATGTGTAATCATAATTCCTTTTAGATGATATTTTTTTTATTTTGTTTTATTGAAGATCAGTATGTTCATGATCATTCTATCAATACAAAGAAGCAATCTTTGCTGAAGAATAAGGGCTAATATATTTCTTCGTTATTCTTACTAGAGGTTGGTTCTGCTTTGGACATTGGACCCTCCTGAACGTGATGCAGTTTTGACCGATGAAGCTACGAAGAAATGGACAAAAAGCAATCAGGTTCTTGTGGAGATAGCTTGTACAAGGCCATCAAAAGGATTGATTTTGGTCAGGGAAGCTTATCATTCTCGTTTTAAGAGATCCCTTGAAGAGGATGTTGCATATCACACAACTGGGGACTTTCGTAAGGTAAACCAGCACAAGGGTATTGTTTTTGTATTGGTTTCATTATATTAAGTCTGCACGCTTCAAAACTTTTACTTACTTGATGCATCTTTTTCTGAAGCTTTTGCTTTGTGAAGTACATAAATGTAATTATCTCCCATTTTCAAGCTTCTGTGTTTCATCCAAATAAATGGAACCAGTTTATCCATCGGTGAAAGTGATAGGCTAAGTGATGACTTGCATGAGAGTAAGTTGTTACTTGTATGTATACAAGCATTTCTGTTTCATTTCTGAGTAGATATCCAGTGCTGCTTGAACTTGTAGGATATGGCATAATTGAGAGTAGTGTCCATTAGGAGAAATTTTGGCAGTTGCCTTGGTTACATGATACTTATTTGCACCCCAAGGTATTTGAGTTCTTAGATTCTGTATAATGTAAAATGTACTGGACAAATATGTGAATATTTGGGTTATTTATCTCGTGTATTTTGTTTTACAGCTCCTGTTGCCGCTAGTCAGCTCATATAGGTATGAAGGTGATGAGGTAAACTTGCGCCTTGCAAAGTCAGAGGCTAAGATACTCCATGAGAAGATTAAGGGGAAGCATTACAGTGATGATGATGTAATTAGAATTGTGGCCACAAGGAGCAAAGCACAGGTCAATGCAACATTGAATGAATACAAGAATGAGTTTGGTAGTGATATAATCAAGGTATGAAGACGATTACATTATCTCTTTGGTAGATTCTTGAATTTCCTGCGTGTACATAATCTTAACAACATCAGACGTTAAATCATCTTGAAATCTATTGAATTGCCAACTGGAATTGGCAGGATTTGGAACATGACGATGACAATGAGTTCCTTCCTATATTAAAAGCCACTTTTGAGTGTTTGGTCTACCCTGAGAACTACTTTGAGAAAGTTCTTCGCGAAGCAATCAACAAGAGGGGGACTGATGAAGGTGCTCTCACCAGAATTGTCGCTACAAGGGCCGAGGTCGACTTGAAGATTATCAAGGACCTTTATCACAAGAGAAACAGTGTCCCTCTGCACCGTGCCATTGTCAAGGACACACACGGAGATTACGAGAAAATGCTTGTTGCTCTGATTGGTGAGGATGATGCTTGAAGATCAATAATAATCTAATAGCAGTCAAGTTCTATGCGCTTGTTATTAGCGTTATGCCTGTTATCCCGCTTGAACAAGAACTTAGTTTGCCCTGTTCTTCATTGTGGTGGTGTGATTTGTTGAGCTTTGGTTTGCGAGTATTCTGTCATCATCAATAATATAACTTGTATGTTCGGATGCTGGAGATTGAAGCTGTACTTGCACGTTTGTCCTCTTTGATAATAATAAAAAAATTTTGCATCTATTTGGTAGGGGAATCCGTTGGTAATTAAAAAAGAAAAAGGTGATAATTTCTATCCAGAAGAACAAGAAAGAGAACGGAAAAATGGAAAGGTACAAAAAAATGGCGACTCTTGAGTAGAAAGTTCATCCTGGTCCTTCTTGTCATATTTCCCTCAAATTTTTTCATCTACTATAGGAGTTCATGTTCACGTTTGACGACCAGAAAAACAAGAAGCAAATGCCTAATATAAGCTGTCATGAGACGAGAGACTTTTGTGGTGACCATACTGGCCTGAAACTTCCAGCAATTCACGCAGGAGATGATGATGGGTCATCTTATCTGAAGTCTGACTCGTCCAAAATCTGCCATCTTTCCCCTTCTGATGTTTTGCCTGACCGTCGTTCTAACCAGGCAGAAATGCCTGAGATCACGTTCCCAATTGAAATACAGCAGGCAGGCAGGAAGTTTGTCATTCCAGACGAGAGATTAAATGCTTCAATAATCAATTTGAATTTGGTCCCACAAAACTGACTTAGCAGGCAAGAGACTAAACAATTAAGGGTCCTGTTCAACTATTTTAGTTTTCATCCACATTTTCTTATATTAAATTTGCATTAACACGTTGTGGTCCACCCAAAAGCAACTTAGAAGAGATATAGTAGTGTCAAAGGCCAATTAGTCAATCCGAGCCCCTATTGAAGTTAAGGTCCTCAATCAGGCCATTAGAAAAACAGGAAGAAAGAGAAAAGAGGACGAATTTGAAGATGTGGTTTGGTTCCCATGAGAAGCATTTATCTCTGCTGGTCGACAGACGTGTGTCCTGAAGTTGGCTTTGCAACAAGAAAGCTATACGTTTGAGCCTCTGCTTATTCTGTCTCATGCCCTTTATTAAACAGGCAGAAATGCTTAAACTCACCTACTTAATGATTACAATGGTTTTTGCCAGCATTTCCCAGAATGGCATTGACTATCATCAGATCATCAAATGAACCTCTAATTAGAAAAAAATACGTGAGAGAGTCTGTAATGGGGGAAGAATCCGCATAGTATTTGAATAAAAGCAAGGAAAAAAACATTATCCAAAGAAATACAGAACAGGTAACAACAGAAGCTTCGTTGCCTGCATTATCTCCTATGTAAGGTATTTGACAAGTAACACTACAACATAAGGAAGAGTCACAAGTTTGGGTACTCTCTCTCAGGCTAAGGTAGAAGTTGTCACCACACTTGAACATGAAGGAAAACGAGGTCAGGTAATATACATAAGGCCACACCAAAAAGAGATTTAACACTTATTCACAACGTTTGTAGTATTTTTTCTAAAAACCACAGCAGTTGACCACCATTTCCAACATCACTTGTTCAGAAGATTGCGTGAGAAGATCTTCTTGCAGTAGGGACTGGTGCGCAGAATTTCGCTGTAAGGACGGATTGCCTCAACTAATAAAGTACGGAGGGGCCCCTGATGCAGAGAACAACAAAAGGTGCATAATTCTGGATTCAGCTCATTGACAAATGAATGAAGAATTAATGTGGTTAACGTCAGCTAAAACTGAGAAATTCAATACAAGAAGCAACTTCTCCAGCATCAAAGTGATCTAATTATGAAATTTGTAAGTCTCCAATGTTTCTTCATACATTGATCCACCTTTTGGCAAGAGGTCAAAGGCAAGTTTCCCATTTCATTTTCTAACAAGGTCAAAATAACATTAACATCAAAAGACGATAGATGTTAGAGATTGATTACAGACCTTAGTAGCTTCAAGTGCAGATTGAACGACATAATTAGCAAATCGGTCCTGAAGCAATTGATCAAAATGGCGCACGGATAGTAATTCTGTGATGATTCTAGGCTGGCTATCTTTGAGACATCGCAGGCACTTCTCAACAACATGGCTGCTAAATTTTTGCATAGACAAGAATAAAAAGTGACCTTCAAACTGAGAAAGCAAGGTAGCAGCTGCGGATGGAATTTTAAGCTCTATGATGTATTGGATAACATAATTTCTGCAACAAGGAGAAGTTCAGTACAAGTTTAGCTGTAAGAGATGTATTATAAAGGAAACACGTAGGACCATCACATTGCAAAGGTTCAAAGAATTGCATAATGGAAGAAATTATGAGAGGCTTGGCAGGAATTTATCAACAAAATGATGGTTTCTGTAAAGAACACGTGGAGAGTGATTTTTTTTTTTCCTTTAAACAAATTCAGGGCTCCAATTAATTCCAATCCAAGCAATTAACCAAATTAATGATCTCTTTATTAAAAAACAAACAAAAGAAAAGAAAGGGAAGCAGAAAGCAACCGAAAGCAAGACATGAAATCTTTATGCTTATCAGCACTACACTAGTCATATGGAATCGAGAATTTAGATCCATCGAACGGGGGAAATTTTCATATCCCAAACCCGTAAGATATTGCTGAACCAACTCCCATGTTGCAAAACTTTCTTGCTCAGGGATCACTATATATATTACGTGCCTCTCTGTCTCCAACAGGAAGCATTACATTCATTACTTGCCTTTTGCCCACTAATAGGATATTGTATCAAATTAGCTAGGAAATCTAGCAAGTCTATACACCATTTCGACCCATACTTCCCATTCTCATTGTACACTATAATTCAAATTTTATGAGAAAATGCGAACACTTCTTTTCATTCCTCCCTTTCACCTCATCAATGTAGTAGTTACCATCATCATCATCCTCTCTCTAAGGAAGCTTTGTTTCTTTCTCCAGGACATGACCACATACCCAAATGAATAATTGCAATCATGGTAACAGACCAATTAACCGGTAAAGATTCACCTTAAAAAATGAAACAAAGAGGATTGAAAACAATCAGAGGAAAAGTAAAACATTGTTCAGGATTTCTACCCAAAGGCATCTTGGGATAGGAGAAGCCCGTTAGCGGAAATGCTCGAAACCAACTTTTCTCGATGCTTCCCACTTGAATAAGCAATGCACCGATTCAGGACACAGCACCCATGGCGATGGCATGCAATGTCAACACAAAACTTTGCAGCAGCATCAAATATGAACTGTAACAACAACTAGTCAATTCTTTATAAAAGAACATGATAACAGGGAAAATTTACGGAGTCTAATAGGTATGTTGTGCTACACAGGTTCTCAGTTTCCTAATTTTTTTATCTCCAAATTAAGCTGTGAGGAGTCAAGCATTTGATTAAGGAATCAACACTTGATATGTCTGCTTTTTCAGTCATATAAAAATGTGCTTGTCACCATGATCCTCCTCGAGTGCTATTTGAAGTAAAAAAGAAAATCTCATCTACTTCAAATGGCAGATTCATTTCATTATGTTTTTAGTCTTGAATTAGTGCTTTCCATGTTCACTTGACCTTGCACCACAGACCAACACAGTTTCACAACTTCATGATCAGTCCATAATTCCAAGTCCAGTACACACAGGAACAACAACAAAAAAATATAGAACAAAATGTTAGAATCAAATGGTAAGAATTTCGGCTTAGCCATATGAGTGCGCAGGAACCAGGCAAGAACTGCTTGAACCATGAGTGTATTGTAGAACTTACAAACACTAGATATAGAAGAGAATTAAATGAGCCTACCATGGAAGACCTCCAACCAAACTTGACAAATCAGTGGCTTTTTAATTGCTAAAATAAGCAAATGGATATCCCTAAGACTAATTTCGATGGTTCGTACTACATGATACCAAAGACAGACCAATCAATAGGTAATGATTGAAGACATGGCACCTCAGAGGAGTAAAATCTAGAGACAGGTATCATACTTCAAAAACACAGGTACGAAAAGAAGCAATAGCAGCTGCAGATGACCAAATAAATGAAGACTCAAAAATTCCAAACTTGATAATCTGGGCTTTCAACTGAGACAGATGTTACTCAGTGGTTCACTAAAGAACTGTATTGCATTAATAGAATGGTAAACTGAAATTCATGTATCATAGCTTGACAATATGAGATTTTGTATAGTCCAATGATGTTAATTAAATTTAATAAAAGAAAGGAAGTGTTTACTATCCCCAAAAACGCTGCAAACTTTGACTAGGTGAAAGAGATTTTACCTTATTTTGGTCAATGGTAAGGCACTGTAAGCATCTCTGCACTACATGATTTCCATTTTGGTCTTTAATGAGATCAAGCAGACCTGGTTTCAGGGCTACCATAATCAGTGATATTTGCTGCCTGCTTTTGATGGCTTCTATCAGCTTTTGCACTACACGGGTACTGAAAATGAGAGTCAATATATCCATCAGGATGGTTAGAACTTTAGGTCGTAATACAGAAAATTCAATTGGGAATGGAGACAACGCTTTGAGCAGAAGGCAATGAGATTACCCATGTGTGTTCATACAAATGTCAACAAGTTCTCCACGCTTATTAGTCAGCTTAAGCACAATCACCAATTTTTGATCCTCAGAACAGACATCTAATAATTTCTGGATAAGGTAGTTTGCAAATGGATCAACCATGAGTTCAACAACATGATCAATAATTTCAGTGAATATGATTTGAATATCTTGACTATTTCCTTCGTCAAAAACCCTCTGCAAGAACCGACAACCCAACTGATGCTTGCACATTGGATATATGTAACCTTGCAACTCTGCTGGTGACCTATAGACTAGCTGTGCGGGTAATGAGCTACAGTTCCTTGGCCTCAAACCATCTTCACATAATTCTTTGCATTGTGATTGAGCATGCCCAGCACTATTTGCACAAACACCTTGGCATTGCATTACAAAATCCAAAACCAGATCTGTCTCCCTTGACTTTGACATAACTGCCTCATTCCTTGAACTCTTCTTGTCACCCTTTGATTGATTAGATTTCTTTTCAGCTACAAATTTCGAACATTTCCCTTCACCATCCACAATGAAGCTATCTTCACAACCGGGAGCTCCAACTTCCCCTGCATTTGTCACTGAAAACATTGGTCGACCTAAATTAACACAAGCATTTGGCATTCCTCTAGCATTTCCATTTAACATCAGAAGTTTATATGCTAAATCCATCTCCAACATGGGATTACTTAACTGAGAAGAATCCAAGCCATTATAATCCAGAATTCCACATTGCTGCGTGTCATAAAAATCATCAGCAAAACAAGGCCTACCATTCACCATTGAAGTTCTATTTCCTTGAACTCCTTGGTTGCAATAGCCTCTCCCCTGCTCTTTGACCAGCCTCATATAATAATCTACCTGGTCCTCTCTAGATAAAGCATTAGAATGCCTGTTTGTCAGAAAAGGAGAAGGCCCCATAAAATCTTTGACATCACATACTTGTCCCAGCCCCATAGAATAATCATAAACATGGTGGTTGCTAAATCCTACAACACTATTTGACAAACGGTCATTGAATCCACCCAAAAACCCATCCGGGTCAACCCGAAACTTACTAGTACTACAGTAATCTCTCTGTTCATCCCCCACATGCATTCTACTAAAGTTTTCACACAATCCCGCATTGTATGGTACATTCAACATGGACTCTCCACTGGGCTTTTCAAAGACCCCAGAACCCATATTTCTAGCAGCAGAATTCAGCTTTTCTTGATGCATCCCACCATCAAAGCTAAGTGGGGTCATGACTGTTGATTGTGACGATGACCCATTATCAATAGCATCAAACACACCAGAAAATAACCCCGAATTCATGGCTACAAATGGACCACTACTCATAAGCATACTAGGCTGATTGTTCTCAAGAAAACCATGATTCGCATAAGAAGTCTCATTCATCATGACCCCCTTCATTTTTCCATCAACATTTTCTTCCTCAACTCTAAACATCATGACCGCCCTTAAACTAATATATATAAATATGATACTACATATATCAACAAAAACAGAAAGTACAAAATTACGGAAAAAAAAAAGCTAGAATTTTTCAAGAACAAAACTTCAACAAGGAGAGAGATGGTAAAGACAAATTCAAAAAAGGGGACAATCTTTCTGGGGTTTTGGGAGTGAGAGAGAGAGAGAGAGGAGTGATGCTAGCAGTACAAGGAAAGTGATGGGTTTTAATATGGTTAAAAAGCAGCAGTAGTATTTGGCTAAAGCCACGCCATAACAATGTGGAGCAGCAACAAAAAAACCACTAACAGCTTTTTTGCCGCGGTTATAGCCTTATAGGTGGCGTGGACAGCCCAGAAGCGACAAACAGAATTGCAGAGGAAAAAGCATACACAATGGCCTTTGTGTATTCTCACTCACACTCTACACACACAAAATACACAGTAGTATTAGAGATACACACTCCTAGGGCCAAGCTTTGATTTGGTTAAGGAGGCTTTAATGGTTCTGAAATAGAGGATCAATAGTTATCAATATGTCATCTCATGAGCATAGAGGATTTCTTTTTTATTATTTTTTTTCCTAAAATTGAGGAAATATTTAACAAAAAGTCATTTCATGAGCATAAAGAATTTCATTTTTTTTTAATTGACTCACTAGTACTACGATGGAATCTCTGTTGGAAACTAATGGTAGATTTTATTTTATTTTATTTTACCTTCCCCTCCCTACCCAAGCCTGACTGGTTAGGTTCAAAATCCCATAACAAGTAGAATATTTCTTTTGCTCTTTTTTTTTATATAATTTAAGAACTTTCTTTTTTGCTTTTTGTCAACTTTTTACCTTTAGAGTTGTTCATGAAAATTATAAAGTAACGTATCAATTTGCACGCACTTAAATAAATTGTGGTTATAATTATCATGTGTTGCGCGAAAAATAACGTGAGACGAATTAGAAATCGACAAATCATGGTTATAATTAGCACATTTTTACGAGAAAATAACGTGAGTCGAATTAGAAATCATGTGACATAACGTATTCCATTTATAGAAGTAATTCGTAAACACAGTCCATTTTCCTATCTTGAATCTCATTCTCGAGGATAATTATTTTAGATAATAACTCTATCTAAGGATGTTATGTATCTTCCACTCTTATTAGGTAATTCACGTTTCAGTTTATGACATTTTCTACGTATAGTATCATAGACCCTTTACAATATACATGTCTGACTCCGCATTACCAAATGAAAGAAAAGTACACGGCTGAATGCGCTGAGCTTATACGCCCCGTGATAGTTCGTTGGGACTGACCGTCTGTTTTTACAGCAAGATCTCAGGTTTGAACCTCACTTGCTATCGTTGCTAAGCATTCTTAGGGGAGCTCTGCCCGACCAAGGAGATTAGTTTAGGTGATTCCAGGATACCTCTCCAAATTGAAATAAAAAAAAAATGCTATGAGCTTATACGGTTAGATGTCCTTTAAGATATTTCCTTTTTTTCCTTTTTCTTTTTTTTTGTTTATATTTTATTTAATCTCCGTCCTAATAGCAAATTCTTTTCATGAATCTCTTTACTTTGTCATAAGGTAACTATCTAATTGTATTGTTTGTTTGTGTTTTCTAAGAACACGTCTAATATATAATTCAGATTTTAAATATGGATTAGATTGCAAATATTATTGAAATATTCAACTGTAATCTATTGACAGTTGATATTGATTTCACTATTGTGAACTGGATATGGTCTTATTAAAATAAAATTAACATGGGTCCTTGTAAGCTTTATGAATTGTCGATCTTTTGCTGCTTTTGAACACAATAGGGGCACAATTAATTTTTTGGCTCAAATATATGAGACAATTATAGCTTCATGTACTAATTACGTAACATATTCAATTAGAAATTTTGAGTCACGCGATGTATAAGTTCTTTGAAACGGTCTATACTCCACATGAACAATTATGTACCTCAATTGATCAGAAAAAAAATAGTAATGAATATAAGTTCTTTCGAAATGGAGATTCAGTTATTGTCAATTGACCATCTTTTCGACACTTTATTGACTGCATTATCCTTAGCGTCACAATATGCTTACAAGATCAATGCGCAAACGCATCTCTTTATGTATGGTGTGGGCGAGCCAAGTCACTCACAAGTAGTTTGCCAACGGTTTAGTTAAAAGTTTGGCTTTGAATTTGGTTTGATCAAACTCAAGCTCAAGTTCGAGTTACTTGTTCGGTGTAGGGAATTGAGTTCAAGCATCAGTAGTAACTACTCGAGTACTCGATGAGTTTAATCGAGTATTTATATATTATATATTTTAATTATGTGACAAAATCGTAATTTGAAAAATCTAAATGTAAAAAATTAAAAACAAGAAAAGAAAAGCTCGACCTAATAAGGCTTGTAGTTTATTCGAATTCAAATGAATCGAGTTCGAGTTTAATGTGCATTATGTTGAGTCGAGTTCAACCTCAAATTTATATACTCCTTCGATCTTGAGCTCGAGTTGGAGTAGCATTGATAGTGATCTAGTTCGAGTTCAAGTATGGTACTACTTGAGTTCGACTCGATTCGATAGCACCCCTATCTTTATGTATTTGTTGATCGTTTGTTCTTGGGTATATAATATAAGGATTGGGGGCCTCAAGTTTCATTTTAGTCCTCAAGTAGAACAATAATTTAAATTTTTTTACACAATATTTCAAACTTGTTTACATCCTACGGAAATTTTTTTATACAATAGACCCACTTTTATTTATACCTAGGATCAAACTGATTTGAAATAGATCTTGTGAGGCCCTATCCTCTTATATAAGACATATACTAATATACATATATATATATCAATCACTTGTATAATTGTTCTAACAATCAACCATAATTGTTAACCTTCGATCAAAATCGAAGAACAAAATAATATCATATGATGACTATTGTTGCAATTGCTCCTCCTCTTATTTTTGGGTAAAAAAAAAGTGGATGAGTTTGATTTTAGCTTGTCTCATGGGTCATTTATAGAAATTTTTATGAATCGCTCACTAAGGCGCAGTCATCACATTAATAATGAAACTCGAACACACGGTATTTATTGAGAAAGTAACTCGGCCGTATTACCAACTGAACTAACCGCTCTTTCTACTTCTAGTGGTTCATTTATAAGAGACCGAGGAAAGTCGGGTTGAACATGTGAGTCGGGGCGAGGTCTACAGACATTGGATAGGGACCAACGCCCATGCCGAAGTAGAAATGAGGCTTGTAGACTGGATGTTTTAAGTAATTGGTTTAATTACTTGTGCTGTTGTCTGTCCCTTTTATTAAAAATGTAGAAGCAAATCCATTTAAAAGCATATTGATTTACAAGATCAGTTCTGAAAGAGAGAGAAAGTAATGGAAGGGAATGATCCGTATGAGAAATAAGTATCCGAGACGGCTACGACCCTAATATGTGTGTCGGACATGGCTGGAATTTTAATGATACTAGCCAGAAGTGACCAGCCCGTACCGACCAAAAGTAATTCGAATCCTGGCAAAAAAAAAAAAAAGAAATCCACCAAAAAGTAATCAGATTTGAGTTTTTTTTAAAAAATTTTTTTTTACTAAAAAGTATAGATATGATTACAATGACCAAGTGATGAAGGGGTAACGAAGTTGTAAAATATTCCTACTAAAATACAGAAAAAGCTAGTTTTATACATTCTATTAACTAACAAGTGTCAAGTAAAGTTTTAATATACGCTCACAATTTTTTTGTTGGTAATTTATACTTGCATTTGAAAAAATAGCTTTTGGCACCGTAAACTAGTTTGTTTGGATAGTGTATTATTTGGAATAATTACTGTAGCACTTTTTGTGATGTGATGTATGTGAGATAAAAAGGTGATTGGGAATATAAAAAGGTAGGTTGGGAAATGTATTTGTGATGCAAGCGAAATATTATTTGGAATAATTTTGGTATCCAAACACAAATTTTACATGAAGAAAGACAAAATTTTAAAAAGTTATTTGAAAGTCGAATATCATTCATATTTTTCATCTAAAGTATATGCACATTACATTACGATACTACTTTTTTTTCTGTACTGATAGAAAACACAAAGCCAATATTATTAATGAGTTAGCTGGAAATCGTCCAGTATAATTTGCTCGATAGATAATGAAATGCAATCGTCTGCCACTTTCAAGTTTCAACCCACAATTGAAATTGATAAAGAGGTTGATGTTATGTCACAACGGGGAATTGTTCGAGTTGTAGTGGAAATTAAATTCATCCAATCGACTTTTAACTTTTCATCTTTTCCTCCCAATTTTCTAACCTCTTTCTCATTTCACTTTTATTTTCATGAGAATAAACACTCAACCATTGAACAAAAACTACGAGAGAAAAAAAAATTACTTTAGACTATTAATAAGGATAAATAGCACCTGACGAACTTATTACATTTGAATTACCTTTTATTTAAAACAATGAATATATTAGTAACAACTTTTATACTTAGAATTTTTTTTTTTAATTGTTGAAATTATGCCCCCGCTCTTTCAGAAACAAGAATTCGAAAGTCCAACTAGTAATATGACTTCTTTTTTTTTTTTTGTGTTCCTTGAGGACCAAGCAACTTTACAGTGTCCTATGAGTCTACTGTGAGTGTGCTATGGCTACCTCAGAGAAAGCTGACGGATGACGTGGCAGGTGCTATTACTTGATTGTACTTTTGATATGAAACGTGTCCCTCTTACTTTTATTTCTTTTAGACGTAGGCGTAGGTTAGTAGTCTCGGATCCGAAATCTCTCACTTATATTTTTCAACTCGTATTAGCCAATCTATTTCCTCCAAATATAATAAAAAATTATTTAAAAAAATTTATTTGAAATATTATTATAACACTTTTTATAATGTGATATATATGAAATAAAAAATTGATTAAAAATTATGTATAACATATTTGTAATTATCTTTTTATGTCACGAATATTATATTCCAAAAATAGTTAAAGCTTAT